TGTTTCTGAGATACAAAAATAAATAAAGTCCAAGGCAGGCTGCAGCTCTGAACTAATATTTAAAATGCAAAATCATGGCAGAGTTCCTCCCCCCCCCCGCCTTGTCTTGCAGTAAAAAGATATAAACAGAATAAATTACCTTCCCTCGCTGGCTTACGAGAGTCCCTCTCTCCTGACCTGAATTTTAAGTCCTGGCTTGGTTGTAGCACGGAGCACCGATGATTTATGAAAAGCCAGCCACTTCTCTGCATATTTTCTCTGTTCAGCCAAGTGGTGGAATTTATCCTTCCTATACCATTACTAGCATTAATAATGGGGTGGCAAACGAGCCAGGCCGAGCCCCAGGGGATCCCTCAGGCAGGAGCTGGGGCCATCACAAAGACACTGGGCTCCCAGCACCCACCAAGCAAAGCACCTTCTCCCCCTTTCATAGGTGGGGAAACTGAGGCAGGAGAGCAGTTGGCTGTTCCTTGCTGCTCCTTTCTGCTCCACCCCTTCCAGGCCATAAGTGCTGTTATCAAGTAACGGGCACTTTTTATAAGGACAGGGCAATGTGTTGTTAAGTAATTCCCTCCCGGCATCATTTTGAGGATTATAAAACAGAGCACAAGGTCATTCACTGAGTGAACACTGGCTGCTATTATTATTATTACTATTACTATTATTAGTTATTATTAAACCCAGGCTGCTGAGGCACCCCACCTCTGGGCAGACAGGCTGGAAGTGGGATTTTGAATGATGCTGGGATGCTCCAAGCTGCCATCTCCTGTGCAGGAGGATGGGGAGGTCCCTGCGCAGGGGCTGGGGGCTCTGTGGAGGAGGACGGGGCTCAGCAAGGGCAGCCATCAGCAGACCTGCTGGCACTGAGGAGCTTTACCAGTTGGGCTCCACAGCTCAGAGCTGGGTGCAGGAGCCAAACCTTCCCCCAATTCACTGGCCAGGGGCTGCTGCTGCCCTGGGCTTGCCCATCCCAGCAAACACCCATCTGTGGCTCGGCATGGGCAGAAGGGGCCTGATGGCTGGGGAGGGCACAGTGTCATGCCAAGGGCCAGATCCAGGCCACAGGACACGGAGCTGGCCTTGCAGGGAGCAGCTGGGTTCAGTCCATTGGTTACCCCAGCCCTTAACCACAGCCAGGTCTGGGATCCTCACTGCAACCAGGGACAGGGTACAGCACCCCAACTGAGTCTGGGGTCTCCATCACAGCCAGAGTCCCCATTGCAGCCAGGGTCAGGGTCCCCATCACCCCACCAGTCCCAGGAAGGCACCAGCACCCAGAGTTCACGCCTGTCTCCAGCTGCAGGGTGACCCCCCATCAGCTGGGGCCATGCCACCCCCAGTGGGGTGTCCCACACATAACCTGCACCCCCTATGTCCCTGCCAGGGATGTCCAAAGCCCCTCAGATGGCACCCAAAGCCCAAGCACTCCCTCGTCAAGGCACAGAGGGGACAAAGGTCCCTGTTGGGGTGCTCAGGGGAGTCACCACAAACCCCACAGTCATGCCTGTGTCATCACCAGCAATAACCCTCCCATGAGACCGTGCTGGGGAAACACCACCACAATGCCCTGGCCCCCGGCAGAGCAGCATCAGTCCTGGGAATAAACTTATTTTCAAAAGCTGTTGGGCAAACATCAATACTATTTTTTTTCCTGACCTTTTTCCTTTTTTTTTTTTTTTTTCTTGGAAGGGGAAGGTCTGCAGAAGGTGGAAAGTAATCAGGTTTTGGACCTGGGATAAAAAATGGCTGGAGTAGGTTGGGCTGACTCCTTATAATTAATAGTGTGCCTCGTAATAGGATTCTCCAGCCTTCGGTGCTCCCTGGAAACACCTTTTTACATAAGATATTGCTCACGATGGAGCGGCAGAGTTTTGATTTATGGGGTTTTGGCCTCCAAGAAGCATCTGGGGAGCTGGCCTGGCCGGTGGGAGGTATCAGACTGGGGGGAGAGGGGAAAAGGGCTGAAGACAGGGAGGGTGTTTCTATGGGGTTGGCAGCTGGGTCCTGGGGCAGGTGCCCAGCCAGAGGAAAAGGCTTCGAGTGTGTGTGTGTGTGTGCTGTTATCTGGGGTCTGAGCTGCACCTGGGGCTGAGCCCCCTCTGCACCCAAGGTGAAGGAGGAGGAGGCTGAGAAGGGTTTTGGGGCAGGAGAAAGCTTGTCTCCCTGCCCAACCCCACCAGGTGATGCCTGGGGCATGGGCTCAGCTGGGAAACTGGGGAGCAGTCAGGGTCGGGGAGCCCCAGTGGGAGCAAGACTCCACATAACCCGGGGATGGGAGGAAGGACCGGGGAGAAATGTGGGGGGGGGACACAAAAAGCCCTACGAAGTGCAATAGCAAGGGGCTAAAAACAAATGCAGCATTAGAGAGTGGGAATGGGAGAGAGCAGGAAAGCCTGGAGGAAAAGGGGGAATGGGAAAAAAAGAGTGGGATGGGGGGGAAAATGGGGGATCAAGGGGACTCCAGGATGGGGTACACTCACACACACACACACACGTGTTGCCTGTCAGTGCACCTCCGAGCCTGCGGGTGTTAAACACGGCCAGGGAGCTCCACCAATAAATCACCGTAACAAGCGGGTCCATGTGTGTTGTTCTCTTTTGACCGCAGACAGCGCGGCAGGAATGGGAGAAGATTGTAATAATTAATAATCATTAGAATAATAATGCATAAAGACAGTAGCAAAGTAATTAGTCAGAGCGGGAGCGCTTGTTAATTGAGGTGGGGAGCTTCAAACAGCCTGGGGAGGGGCAGGGGAGGGAGGGGAGGAGGGAACCGAGGGTTGGGGGCTGCAGAGGAGGATCCCGGCACGTCCCAGGGGCAGAGCAGGACTGTGTACCCCAGTCCTGCCCTCGGACAGGCAGGGGAGGCACAGGCAGGGCCCCAGATCCATCCCTGCCCACAGTGTGAGCCCCGGCCTCATCCACCCTGTGTGCCTCAGTTTCCCCATCTCTGCATGGACACAGGAGCTGTGGGAGGAGACCGGCCCCGCATTCGCCAGGCAGCGGGGCTTTATTTTGGTTGTTTTGGAGGAGAGTGAGCGGAGGGTGCTGGCTGGGCAAGGGTGGGCGTCACTCCAGGCCCAGCTGGCTCTTCAGGGCCTGCAGCTGGGCCACCTGGATGTGGCTGCCCCCACACACCACCACCACCACAGAGGCCAGGGGGGTCCGCAGCCACCCCTCGTCCTGCAGCCGCTGAAGCCGCCCCGTGTAGAGCAGGGCCAGGACGGCCCCGCAGGCCGGCTGCACCAGCATCCTCTCGTCATCTGCGGGGACAAGAGCGGGGGGACACCTTGAGCCGCCTGCTCACCCACCCTGTGTCCCCGTCAGGAGCCAGGGTCCCCCCAGCACCCTGACTGGCATGTCCCAGGCCAGCCCCAAGACCCGGTGGTGTCCCTGTCACCCGTGTCACGCCTGGCTGGCCCCTGCTCACCCAGGAACCGCTCCACGGCTCGCACAGCCTCCGTGTCCTCCACCACCTGGGAGATGACCTGACATTCCCGGGCACACTCCAGCGCCCGCGCCGCCACCTTCTTGGCTCCCAGGCACTTGGCCACGCTGGGACAGGAGGTGAGAATGGTGTTCAGGGTGGTCCTGGGACCCTTCAGTGAGCTGGGCTGAGACCTGCCAACTCACTGCATGCATGGCTGCACCCACAAAGCCCAGCTCACCTGGTGATCTCAGGCAGGGAGACGAGCCGGCCGGCCTCCAGCGCTGTGTGGAAACTGTGGGCCCCCCAGGTCTCAGCAGCAATGATGGGGACGTCCTGCCAGCCCACCTGATGCAGGCCAGCCACGACACCTGCCAGCAGCCCCCCGCCGCCCACTGCCAGCAGGATGGCATCTGGTTTGGTCTCCAGTGAGTCCTTCAACTCCTGGACCAGGCTGGCGTGACCCTGCCTGCAGGGCGAGAGGGGCCAGAGAATGCAGCCCAGGGGCACCCCAAGGCAACCCGTACCTCGGGGATGGGGATGGGGTGGCAGGAGCTGAGCCCTGGCAGCACTCACCACACCAAGGGGTGGTCGAAGGGGTGGATGCTGACACAGCCCTCAGTCTGTGCCAGCTCAAGGGCTCTCTCGTTGGCTTCATCCCACACCTGGGGGTGCAACGGGGGCTCAGCGGGGCCACATCCAGCCCTTGCACCCCAGAGATCGGTCTCTCATCTCGGCAGGGCCAGGAGACACCAGAAACCCACACGGGGTGCGGGACTGAGAGGGGTGTCCCCGAGGTAACCCTGCCACAGTGCCGGGTTGAGGATGACGCAGGAGGGGGACGTTTCAGGATGGGGTTTGCCATGCACATCCCCGGTATTGCAGAGCAGGCTGAGGTCAGGCTCAGCCCCCTCTGGTCCCCCCCAGACCCCAGGTTTAGAGGCTACCATGGGGGTACCTGGCCAGAGACCTCCACCTCTGCCCCCAGCTCCTCCAGCTTGCGCACAGTGGTGGAGCCAGTGGTGCTGGGGACCACGACGGTGACCGGCAACCCCAGCTTCTTGGCCACGTACGCCGCTGCCAGACCTGCATTCCCCCCTGAGGAAAACATGGGGGTGAAGCAGGGCTCCACCCCCCCCACACTCCCCATATTACTCATGAGCATCCCCCCTCGCTCCCCCTGCCCCAGCTCGGGGCCTAATTACCTGAGGAGCAAACGAAGCGGGAGCAGCCCTTCTTGGCAGCCTGAAAGGCAGGAGGGAAGGAGGGAGGGGGACGGCTGTGTCTTCCCACCATGCCCCCCACAAGGGCACGAGCAGCACCCTGCCCACGCTCACCTCCTGGCAGAGGTGGCCGATGCCTCGGATCTTGAAGGAGCCCGTGGGCTGGACGTTTTCCAGTTTCATGTAGACCTTGGTGCCCGCTGCCCTGGACAGGACCAGGCTCTCCAGGACAGGAGAGATGACATGGAAGGGCTTCTCCCTCCCACCAGGCTGGGCTGCCATGGCTCTGGCAATGGATGTTCTGCCAGGAAAAGGTGGGGGAAACACCAGCTGCTCCCCACAGGGTCCCTCCCGCAGCTCCACTGCCTGTCCTGGGCTCGGTATGGGGCACAGGAGCCCCTCAGGTGGGACAAGGCTGTCTCCAGTGTCTGCTTCCAGCTCAGGGATGCAGCAGCACCGAGCCCTGGGGCACAGCAGTGGGCCCTCCCAGCCAGAGCCCCCAGTCAAGATGGGCCACCCAATCCTCCATCCTCCTGGTCCCCAAGCCCTCAGCGTCCCCCCCTCACGCACCCTGTCCCCTAATTCAGCCAGGGCCACCCCACGGTGGGGATTACCTGGTGTCACCGGCTCCTCACCCGCAGCTGCAACAGCGTGGGGGACAGAGGGAGGTAGAGGTGACGTCGGAGGGGCTGTGCCGGTGTCCCCAGGTCCCCGTGTCCAGCCACGCAGCAGGGCGAGGGGCGGGGGTTAAACATTGCCCTGGTCCGGGCTGTTTGCTCAGCGCCGGGCGGTTTTTTCCAGCCGTGAGGCTGGATCCGTGCCGAAAGCGCCCAGCCGTGGCCTGGGCACGCTGCCCGGTGCCCAGCGGAGACAGCCATGTGTGGGCCTGGCAGCCAGATCCCAGCAGCCTTCATGTGCCCAGGAGGTGGGATGTGAGCGCCCAGGGGACAGGGGGAAGAGGAGAGGCAGTTCCCAAATGACTGTGGGGGTCCCCAAGGATTTGGTCCCCAAGGCTGGGCACAAGCACTGGCTCTTCTCGGGTCCAGCCAGAAACACATCCCGGCAGATTTGAGGACTTTGCCCATTTGACCCAGACCCCGGTGTAGCAAGGGCAGCCTGCGTGCCCCAAATCCCCAACAGACACCCCCTTCACCTCCAAACGAGCCATCACACCCTCGTGCCCTCACACACACACACACACACACACACACACACTCTCTCTCTCTGCACAGCTTGCAGGGTGCCCCATGAGCATTCCTTGGGGGG